ATGAACACAGCAGGCCAAGCAGCATCAGAGGAGCAGGAAGGCTGACGTTTCGGGCCTAGACCCTTCTTCAGAAATGGGGTCTAGGCCTGAAACATCAGCCTTCCTGCTGTGTTCATCCAGCTCTGCACCTTGTTATCTCAGATTCTCCAGCATCTGCAGTTCCTGCTATCTCTTCAAACAAGCATACCTTTTTGTCAAGGCAGTGCTCGTTAACACCTGCAACTGCTTTCAACTGTGCATGGGTGACAAGGAGGGGCCCACCTACCAGTTCTCTATCAATGGTCTCCTCCCACCACGCAGGTCTGCATCTCTTCTTCGCCCACTCTCCAGCACCACCCCACCTTCCCAAGGCAGCAACCCCTAAAACCATTCATACATGTGCATACACCAGTGTCAGTGAACACAGCCTTTCAATATAATCAAGCTGCTTGGTCATTTTGACACATGTCTCTAGTCATCATGTCCTGATGCGGGACTTGAATGTGGATACCCTAACCTAGAAGTGGGAAATCACAACCATTTATCATACAGGTGAAAAGGGGATTATTAACTGACATTTGATTCACTAGTCAAGTTTTCTCCATGGCAAAAACAATAGGGTCCCCAGGCCCCTGGGTAACTCAAAGGCACAGGTCTGAACATGTTTCATTTAGTTGCAGAAAATAGGTTCATATGAGCATATGTTACTGCTCCTCATGTAATTCATGTCTTAAGCTGAACTGATTATCTTACACTGGCTTCAAGTCTAGATATCAGCACACACGATTGACAGCAGTTGCCAAACAATCATAGGATCACATCAATCAACATACATTTTGCTTTGGGCTTTTCAGCCCACTGTGTGGTTACACTCTTATGCGCAACCAATGGAAATTTTGCTGAAGTTTGGAATTTAAAGTACCCTTCATCATACAAATATTGAAATTCAGGACAACGTTGCTTGATCATATGATAAGCAGAACTACTTTTTGGGTCAACAGCACTGTGGCGACTGGAAAGCCATAGGGTAGCCACTGCATGGCAGCAACTCTAATTGGGTGGATTTGGTTATTGTTCAAATTCTTGAGACCATTTCCAAGTTTTGTGGAGATGAATAGAGGACAAAAAGCTTCAAATTTTTCTCTCTGGCAATACTCAAGTCCAATGCTACCACACCACGATTTGAAGCCCAATAAGTTGAGGAATGAGAATTTTAATTAAAACCATCCATTCGCCAACATGCTTACTTAGCCCAGAATGGATACTTAATTTCTGGGCAGAACAATCTTTAAAACCTAATTGTAGCCAGCCCCCAGCTACCCAGAGACAAAGAAATCATGGCCAGTCACCAGGGTAGCAGAACGCATGGGCAGTACAAGGCAGAGAAACACCCATCTTCCTAACGCAAGATGGCGGAACGCATAGGCAGCATAAAGCAGGGAAACACGCACCTTTTTAAACGCAAGATGGCGGAACCGTTTGGGCTCCCGGTCAGCATTTCCTGACAAAAAAGTGGGTAGTGGAAATCTGAAATAAAAACAGAACAAACAAGAAAAAAGTACTAGAAATATTTAGTTGGGGGAACGTTTCTGGAAAGAGAAAGCTATCGTTTCAGGACAAATAACCACTCACTATAACGGTTTCGCTCCAGTTGCTGCCCAACCTTCTCTCAAGTCTTTTCGTGCATCCCACTGACAATATAGACGCCTGTCGATCGTGAAACGCGCCTCAAGGTTAGCAACCGAGACGCTAAACAGGCAACAAACACCCAATTGGCCCTCATTTCTATATTGATGCCCGATGACTTTATGTTACCAGCCTAACCTTCACTTACCTGCTCTGGCCAAGCAACAATACGCGTATGCGTCCTTCACATCACACCGACTCCTCGACCAATCTAATACTACGCGAGATAACAAGGTGTAGAGCTGGATGAACACAGCAGACCAAGCAGCATCAGAGGAGCAGGAAGACTGACGTTTCAGGCCTAGACCCTACTTCAGGGATGGGGTTCTGAAATAAATAGGGAGAGGGGGAGGGGGAGGGGGAGGCGGATAGAAGATGGATAAAGAAGATAGGTGGAGGGGAGACAGACAGGCCAAAGAGGCGGGGATGGAGCCAGTAGAAGTGAGTGTAGGTGGGGAGGCAGAGAGGGGATAGGTCAGTCCAGGGAGGACGTACAGTCAAGGGGGCGGGTTGAGGTTAGTTGGTAGGAGGTGGAGGTGGAGGGGGGGGGTGGGGGTGGAGGGGATAGGTGGAAGGACAGGATAGGGAGGCGGGGACGAGCTGGGCTGGTTTTGAGATGTGGTTGGGGGAGGGGAGATTTTGAAGCTTGTGAAGTCCACATTGATACCATTGGACTGCACAGTTCCCAAGCGGAATATGAGTTGCTGTTCCTGCAACCTTCGGGTAGCATCGTTGTGGCACTGCAGGATGCACATGTCGTGAGGAATGGGAGGGGGAGTTGAAATGGTTTGCGACTGGGAGGTGCAGTTGTTTAGTGCGAACCGAGCATAGATGTTCTGCAAAGCGGTCCTCAAGCCTCCGCTTGCTTTTCCCGATGTAGAGGAGGCTACAACAGGAACAGCGGATGCAGTATACCACATTAGCAGATGTGCAGGTGAACATCTGTTTGATGTGGAAAGTCTTCTTGGGGCCTGGGAAGGGGGTGAGGGGGGAGGTGTAGGGGCAGGTGTAGCAGTTCCTGCGGTTGCAGGGAAAAGTGCCGGGTGTGGTGGGGCTGGAGGGGAGTGTGGAGCGGACAAGGGAGTCCCAGAGAGAGTGATCCCTCCGGAAAGCAGATAAGGGAGGGGAGGGAAAAATGTCTTTGGTGGTGGGGTCGGATTGCAGATGGCGGAAGTGTCGGAGGATGATGCGTTGGATCCGGAGGTTAGTGGGGTAGTACATGAGGACGAGGGGGATTCTGTTTTGGTTGTTATTGCGGGGAGGGGG